AATCAAACCTTCAACTTTATCTTCGAAATTTCTTTCAAGTCATGACAAGAAGAAAATTATCAGCAGCGTTTCTTCTCATTGGAACACTCATATTGTGGCGGCGGCTGTTAAGAGATCCGCCGAACCTGAAGTCATTCCTGTCTCACCCGAGGACGTACCAAAGGTCTGCACTACTTACCTCATTTTTGGCTGAATAATATTTTGATTAACTGAGTTCATCACATTGCGTGTTAGATGTAAACACTCTTGTCACGGAATAGCGAGTAAAGTTAGGAGAAATGTGGTGAGAACCTGCATTCCTTGGATAACGTTTTTACTGGATTTCAGTTACGGAAAAGTACGCGAACTTCATTTCTCTTAACTGAAATTATAATATTTTTGTTGTAAAAATGTGATTATATAACATTAACAAATCAAAAGGTCTATTCATACGATTATTTCAGTGAAAGACGGAATTGACCTATTGAAGCTGCTGATTTGTTGGATTCGGCACAAATTGAAGGTTGTTTTTGTCATTTCCAGAAAAAATTGCCGTCTCGGACATTATTTTTAACGAAAACTATCCTTTCATTAGGTCATGATTTAAAAAAAATTATACAAGGTCATTTTTAAAAGGTTATTTTTGTCTTTTCACTACAATTAGTTGCGTGGATAGACTTTTTGTCGCGCCACTAGTAGAATTTAGCATAATGTGCAAGGGAGGATAGTGAAATGATTCGCTGTTAAAAGTAAATTGGAGTATTCATTAACTTTGTGGATGAATTTGTATGTTTTTTCAGAGGGAGGAGCAATTTGTGCAATTAGAGCAACTAGGTGACACGGCAGCAGCTATTGGAATGTGGACGAAGCCTACTGTTAGGAGAAAGACGAAGATTGTATGTACTATTGGACCGTCAACTAACACGAAGGAGATGATATGGAAGTTGGCTGAAGCGGGAATGAATGTTGCTAGAATGAATATGTCACATGGAGACCATGCTTCTCATCAGAAAGTCATTGATTTGGTTAAAGAGTATAATGCACAGGCGAAAGATAATGTCATTGCCATCATGCTTGATACTAAGGCAGGTTTACTTCATTTTGATGCTATATCGGGTTGTTTGAGTTGTAAAGTTTTGATGGAATGGAATGCACCTAATGTTTGGAGGCCATTAGAAACGAGTTTTATGCACAAATTGAGAAAGAAAAAAACATGACAGTACATGGAACAGTACTTTATCCTGATTTGAGGTCCTTCATTTAACTTGTTATATGCTTCTTTCTGTTCATTTGGGTTGCTTTTTTTTTTTTTAATCAGGGTCCTGAAGTTAGGAGTGGTGACTTGCCTCAGCCTATCATGCTATCACCTGGACAGGAATTCACTTTTACGATTCGTAGGGGTGTTGGAACATCTGATTGTGTTAGTGTGAACTATGATGATTTTGTTAGTGATGTAGAAGCAGGCGACATGCTTCTTGTTGATGGTATGCTGACATTGTCTTTTTTTCCTAAAAGTAAAAGTTGAAACCATTGGTAGGGTGCGCAATGGTTAAAACATTATTGCCTTATTGTAGGAACATGTAGTTTTTGTGATTCATTTTGTTATACTTATTGTCATATTATTTGTGTCAATGTAGGAAGAGGATTTTTTGATGTATATGCATACATAATATCAACATATTTATGCTCTAGCAAACCCCACCCCCCCCAGTTGCACATGTTATATGTGTCTCTGCAGAAGTGAATATTGTTTCATTTGTCCTCTAGACCCTGTCTTTTGATCCAGTGACTGAAATAGCAGTAGATAAATGGCATGGGGGATAGCATGAAATCATGATTGTGGGAGTCTGCTGCTCAAAGATGACAATGGAAAGTGAATATGTTTTTTTTTCCCTTCTGAAACTGATACGATTTCAAAGCCTTCATTTTCTCATGGTAAAATGTCAGGATTCTTACACCCATAAGAGCAGGGTTTTGATTATAGTGAAACTTCCTTTTCACTTTGAACCTTTTTTTTTTCCTGCTAATATAGAAGTCTTAACAACCATAAAGAGACATGAAGATCAATATGCCCAGGATGAGTAGAAATTTTCTTTAGGCAGGCTTGCTTTTACAATTCATGCAAACTCACAGTTGAAGCTTTCAGGGTTTTTGAACAGGAAATATATTTTGCTGTCAATTATATGTTTGCTGATCCTTGACCTTTGTTTTAGGTGGTATGATGTCACTTCTGGTGAAGTCCAAAACAGAGGATTCAGTGAAATGTGAAGTTGTTGATGGAGGAGAGCTTAAGTCGAGGCGTCATCTAAATGTTCGAGGAAAAAGCGCAACATTGCCTTCCATCACTGGTTTGACCTTAAATCACCATTGATTTTATTTTGTTTTCATTTGTGTGGGTGTTGATTTCACAAATGGACATGGTTGCTTACACGGTCCTTGCTGCAGACAAGGATTGGGATGATATAAAATTCGGAGTGGAGAACAAAGTTGACTTCTATGCTGTTTCCTTTGTTAAAGATGCACAAGTGGTTCACGAATTGAACAATTATCTACAAAGTAATATTTATATTAATATGTTCTTCTTCTTCTTCTTCTTTTTTTTAACATTGTATGATAATCTAGCTTAGTTAACTTGGACGATAATTTTTTCCGTGTTCTGGCAGGCTGTGGTGCAGATATACATGTGATTGTAAAAATTGAAAGTGCAGATTCTATACCAAATTTGCATTCGATAATCACAGCATCTGATGGGGTAATCATCTGAATCATTATGTCCATCTTTGAGTTGCTGATAGTTTATGTAATATTAAGACGTAGTTAATTGGATTTGGTTATCCTTATTGCTTTTAAATTTTATCAAGAGGAGCATATTTTTTGAATATTGATCTTGAAATGAAAAAAATGATTTTTTTTTCCCAGCTATTGCCACTGACTGCTTTGTTTCCTTGTTGATTTGCTGCCTGTTTTTTTTCTTCCTTTTGTACTATAAATTGTTTGAGCTGTGATTTTTTAGTTTTATTTTTATGTATCAATTTATTTTTTAATTCGGATATATCTGACATTCTCTAATCATAGTTGATTTCACAAGAAACATTTTCAGATCAATGCTGATACCTCTAGCCTGTATTGTGAATAATCTACGTGCTAATGGATTATATGCTTCTTCTTTTTTTTAATCAGGCTATGGTTGCAAGAGGAGATCTTGGTGCAGAGCTCCCTATTGAGGAGGTTCCCCTGCTTCAGGTAGATTTGTCTCTGGGATAAGATTGATGACCAATGAGATATGAAATCATCATTGGTAGCAACTGCATCCAGTTTGGACATGAAGTTGATTAGTTTCTATTTTGAATTTGTAGGAAGAGATAATCAGGCTCTGCCGGAGCATGGGAAAAGCTGTTATTGTAGCAACGAATATGCTTGAAAGCATGATTGTTCATCCAACTCCTACCAGAGCAGAGGTATCAGACATTGCCATTGCTGTTCGCGAGGGTGCTGATGCAGTAATGCTTTCTGGAGAAACTGCACATGGAAAGTAAGTAGGTTTTAACAGTGTGAATGCTTTAAGTATAATTGTGCATTACGATGAAGTCATTTTGTATCCTTGCAGATTCCCACTGAAAGCTGTTAAAGTTATGCACACAGTCTCCTTGCGAACTGAAGCAACCATAGCTGGTGGTGAAATGCCTTCTAATCTTGGTCAAGCATTCAAGGTGCCTAACACGAACCTGTTTATCTTCTTTCATTGATGTTTCTCATATTCAATTTAATTGCTGTGAGTACTGAGTGGGAATTTCTTATTTTCTGCAGAACCATACGAGTGAGATGTTTGCATACCATGCAACCATGATGTCAAACACTCTTGGAACCTCAATTGTTGTCTTCACAAGAACTGGCTTCATGTCTATATTACTGAGCCATTATCGACCTTCAGGCACTGTTTTTGCATTCACAAATGAGTAAGTTTTTCATGTTCCTAAAATTTACATCTGTTATCAGTCATTTGTTATGACTTTTGTCCTGGGTAATTTTACTTTTAGCTTTTAGTACTTACTGAATAAATGATACCATGTGTAAGAATCCAAGGGAAGAGAGCAACTGTTTCAAGTGAAAAGTATAGATATGTCTAAGGGCAGCTCATGTAATGGTAGAAGATTGCCACTAAAAGGTATTTGAATTGAGAGTTTGACTAATTACTATACTTCAATGGCCATGCAGGAAGAGGATACAACAGAGACTGGCTTTGTATCAAGGAGTGTGTCCCATATACATGCAGTTTTCAGATGATGCTGAAGAAACCTTTGCAAATGCCTTGTCAGTGCTCAAGGTAAGCTCCTATATGATTAGTCTATTGTAAAATTGGACAGCAGTTTATCCATGTTTTATCGGTCCCTGTCCAATTTGGAGATAAACTAAAACGAGCTTTGAATGGCATGAAGGTATAGTTGGACTGGTTATAAATGGTACTTTGAGTATTGAGTATTCAATTTGGATAACGGACGATTCTCATCATTATCAATTATCATATATAACATTTAGAACATGCTTAAAACAATTGTATCTGTGAGATAATAGTCTACCCGAGTCTGCTGCATGAGAGGATTTAATTCCTTTAATATGATCCCAAAAATGTCTGTCTAGATAGTCACTTTTAAACATACAGCTAGGTCATTCCTTCTCTTTTCAAAACCATCTTTCATTGTACCTGGGTTGTTATGTACTTGTTGCATGCAAAAAGGTCGGAGGATGACTTGTTTCTGGTTTTATCATATGCAGAATCAAGGGATGGTAAAGGAAGGAGAAGAGGTCGCACTTGTTCAAAGTGGAAGACAACCAATCTGGCGGTTCCAATCTACCCATAATATTCAGGTCCGCAAAGTATAAACACCGAGATAGATTGCAAAACTGATTATTAGTCCCACATACGAGGACAATTCCTGTAGTTTGAGTTTTTTGCCATGTTATCTAGGCCTTTATTGCGTAATTCCATGTTCTTGACTGGATGTTCTCTGGACTCCTTTTCTTTTAAGTTCCCAGCATGTCTTGTATGATGGTTCGAAACTACTGTTTGTTGAATGAAAAGCTTTCTTTGGTATTGTAGTATATCATATATAGTATCAAGTCAGAAATTAAATTTATTCTTGAATACAAATAATTAAGGAATTTTTCGTGCTGTGAAACTTGACTCGATCATTGGTCGGCCAAAATCAAGAGCAATGTATTTGTTCATATGTGGCAGATGAGAAATGTGATTGAGGCCAGAATAGTTTTACCCATTAGTACTGGATAGAGTTGCAAAGATAGTCAACATTAGTGGAGACATGTATTTGCCATCTTTAGACTATTCTAAGCAAAACAAACAGTAATTAATCATCTCATTTACTTTTCTTAATGGAATTGCGTCCGCATTTGTTATTAGAGCTAGCAGAGTAGAACCAATTCAATGTGTCATACACTGCTCAGAATGGAGGGACTGTACCCGTTCCTATCATCCCAAAACTTTGACCAGAGCATAACGCCACCATACTTTGGTGCCATCTTTATCACTGGAAGTATTTGAGAAGTCAACACATCCGGTGGAATGTACCCACTTCTGGCTGCTGCAGGAGCTGCTGGCAACCCTAGAAATATTGTTCCCGCAACTATTGACGCAGTCCACTGATTCCAAGAGTTTATGAGGTTAGTAGTGTTGCCTGAACTATACTGGCAAGGACCGTTGCTATAGAATTGTACCCAAACATAGTCAAAAAGTCCAGTGTTAAGGGCAGTCCCCAAATTTCTATCCGGGAAGGGACACTGAGGAGCTGCCGCTAAATACACCTTTCTTCCTTGCTCGCCATATTTAGATAGGAAACGTGCCAGATCCTCCCAATACAGTGTTGAACCTTGCCCTATGCCAAAATCAGTGCCATCCAACACCGCATCACCTAGAGGACGAGAAGATGATTGACCGCCCAAGAAATTGCTCCATAAATAATCTGCGACACCTCTGGCATCATCCTTAGAGGCTAGAGTATAATTTCCAATGCTACCACCAAGAGAAAGCAGCACCTTAATTCCTTGCTGTTGGCAACTTTTGATGCCTCTACTGACAATTTTACAGCCACCGTTTGCCGGGTTGCAATGACCAGCAAGGTTCATTTCTGGGGGTTGACCATTGCCAAATTTGTTGAGGAAGGCTATGTTAACATAAGCATATCTTCCTGTGGCACATGTTTGTGCTAGAGTCCCTTCATTTCCATTTTGACCCCAGTAGATTGAAATTCCACCAGCAGCATGAGAGGATTTATTTAGTAAAAGGACTAGCAGAGGGATAAGAAGAAATGTGGCTTGAGAAACTCCGGCCATAGTTGCAAGCATCCAAAAGCTAAGGATGGTTTCTCGTGCCTCTATAACGGGCAAGGGATTGACAATTATATAGCGTCTTGGATGGCCTCCACAACGAACAATTTGACCCAAGGAAAGCAACAGTGGCTAGCTGTATACATAAAACTAGAGCGAGGTCTCCAAGCCGAGTTTGCTGACTTCATTGGAACTTCCAAGGAGATTGACCAAAGGCCAAATATTGTCACTATAAATAAATGCTTTCCATACTTGAGGAAATTTTATTAGATAATTAGGAGGAATATAATTTAATTAGTTAAATTCTAAATTTATTTTTTAAAAATTATTAATTTGAGTCTCATAAATTTTAAAAATATTTAAAAATTTATATAATTGTTAATTTAAAAAATTAGTAGTAGACAACACTCATAAAAATCATGTTAATCAAAATAAATAAAAATAAAAAATTAAGCGTGGCGGCCATTTAATGTGCATGAGACTCGAACCACCTTATTTATCACTTCATACCAAATTAGTACGAGTTCATTTTGTATTGAAAAAAAGTCTATTAATTAATTCCATTTGTTCAAAAAATCTCTCCTCTGCCTCTTTTCTTCATGTATTTACATAACTTCTGTTAGCTATTATTTTATGTATCAGTCGAAAATTAATATATTTATTAATAAGTAAATCATCAAAGCCCGTCAAGAGATTAATTTATGATTTCTGAAATTAAACATAGTAATTATTATATCTTAAATATATAATGACTAGCTTATAATTCACTTCTTTATTCTAGCTCCGCTGTGCAGGGAACTGATGTTACTCAAGTAAAGAATGTTCATACTTCAATGGAGTTAACTCAGCCAACATGAATAAAAACAAGATAACTCTCCGGATTTTCTTCCAATGCTAGAGTGATTGAATTGAACTCTGTATTTTTTAATGCTAAAATATAATATAAATTATACATAAAGTATTATTAAAAATTTAAATTTTTAGATTAAACTAATTTTTTTAATAAAATGTTAGAAGCTTATTAATCAAGTGGTTATGAGTTCAAATTTTATTATTTTTATTTTATTTGATAAAATTAAACACAAGATAATAATAGACTTGTGTAATTTCAAGTTTAAAAAAATTTTAATTAAAAAAGTATATTAAAAAATAATATAAATTATATATTAAAACTTTAATTAACTTAGAAAATCTTATATTATCAATATAAAACTCCAGGACAAATAGGCAACCTAGCTGAGTAAAGGTGCATTTAGGGTTTAGTTGGATATGTCTGGGAGCTCAAAGAAGGGGTTTAATTTGCTGGCTTCGTTGACCAATAAATTTTCAGTTGAGTGCTAAATCTTTAATAATTCTTACAGGGCTAGATTACTTTTTTCTCTAGTTATTGATAGAGGTGCAGAAACTTCTAATAATCCAGGCTTTTCACGGGCTACACTAAAATGTTGGGCTATTATTTGGGCTTCATACTGGGCTGAACTGGAATATTGAGGGCCCGATTCTTCTTCCACGAAACAAATCTTCTGCATAGTTAAAGTACCCTTCAAGTCAAAAACATAAAACAATTATTTTAAATAAAAAAATTCAAAATTCTTAAACCGTGTTTTTAAATAACTAGTAGTGAAACAAACATAACAACATATTTGATATAGCATAAAATTGAGTTTTATTATACGAGATTTACTAAAAAATTAAGTTTAAAATATAGGTTGTGTGCAATAGTTTTTACATATTTTTTAATTGAGTTTTAAAAATATTCCTTACCGATCTCTTTCTTAATGTTTGTAAAAAAACCAAAATATTTTATCTAAACATTATATATATATTTTTTGCTATATATAAATTTTAATCACAATTTTTACTAAACATGTATCTAAATTCAACTAACTACAATTAAAAATATTTTTTTAAATTATAATTATAAAAACTATTTAAAAAATAATCACAGAAAAATTCATCCGCACGTGATCACATGATTTTACCAAATAGCTTACCAATCTAGCAGAGTTGCACGTCTGACTGCATGATCATTCATCTGCTTTCTTGGCCAGTAAATAGCGTGTTTGAAATTTCACTCGGAGAAGTGTTTTTAAAAAGCTTTAATTTTTTTAATATTAATTTTTTGGTGTTTGTTTTATCATTTATCTTTATCATTTTAATTATTCTTTATAGAATTATCCTGACATTACAAATGGGCTAGTACTGCACAAGTAATAATCAACTTAAAAAATAAGTTTCTTCAAATCAATCTATAAAACAACTAAATTTATGTTGAAAAGATCAACTTTACAATAATTTATTGGTAGAGATTATACCCGCTTCATTTCTATAGGTGATCCTCTTGTGTTTATTATTCTCATCAGAATATATAATTTTATTTAACTTAAGATCAATTCAAGTACAAATACACAGTCACATGTTTTACTGTCAACAAGCGAATGCTACACTGAGGATACATGAGATGATGACAAGATCAAGGCTGCGAAACTTAGACACTGCCCTTTATAGCTGCACTGTATCCATTGTCAAACAGCTTGTTCCAGAACATAACACCTCCATATTTGGGTGAATTCTTGACAGATGGAAGAACCTGAGAAGGGAACACATCAGCAGGGATGAATCCACCACTAGCGGCTGCCTCAGGAGCAGCCGGTAGTCCCAGGAATACTTGATTTGCTTGAACTGTTGTCCATTGGCTCCGTGCTTTTAAGAGACCGTTAGCATCATCATTGGTGCATTGGCATTGAGGATTGTTATAGAATTGAACCCACAGATAATCAAACCGCCCAGTTTTAATTGCAGTGTCTAGTTTAGCATCAGGGAAGAAACATTGTGGAGCTGCAGCTAAGTACACCTTCCTTTGTTGGCAAAATCCACCAAGTGCCCTAGCAAGGTCATCCCAGAACTGACCTGAGCCAGTCTCAATATCAAAATCAACCCCATCTAAGGTGGCATCGCCTAGCGGACGTCAACTGGACAGACCACCAAGGAAGTTAATTATTCCAAATATAATTGGCAAGTTGCGTCGCATCATCGGTGGATGAAAGAGACTAGCCGCCTCTTTCACCTCCAATGGAAAGTAGAACCTTAATGTTTTGACCTTGACAAGCTCTAATGTCAGCACTTAATCCAGTACAAAGTATTGGCTGCGGGGTCACAAGCTCTAATGTCAGCACTTAATCCAGTATCAGCCAATGGCCTGCTAGGTTCAGCATTGCCAAAATTAGATAGGAAAGCTATGTTCACAAATTGATAGTTTCCTGTGGCACAAGTATCAGCCAAGGTGCATGCCTTCGTTTCCATTTTGACCCCAGTAGATGGCAATGCCTGCACCATACGAGGGTTTGCACAAGGAGACAAATAACAGGAGGGATATAAGCAGGTTGAGAGCTTGTGGATGGCAAGGCATTTCAGATATCTTAGCTTTTTCCGTGTCTTAACAATGTAGAGATGGTACAGATATATAGGTTTTAGGATCATGCCTGTCCTGAGGCATAAGGTACTTGATCACCGTGGTATGTGGGTAAGAAATTGTTGCCATTCATATTACGTGTAGAAGAAATCTGCATAAAAATACTGCAGTCAGGTCATCATAACCTAAGCTCTCAATTTACAATTCCAAGTTTGCTCTTGTTGCTTTAAGGTGGTGGCCTTCATAATATGCCGTGGCAGAGGGGTTGGTTTCCGTCCCTCCTTGATCTCCTGATCTGTCCTTGACATTTTCGACTCCATTGTCTTGTGGTCGCAACTTGAACCCAAGCTTTCAATTGAGTAAGGGATTGCCTGAACCACAGGGCATTGATAAAAGGTATTATAGGCATGCAGTGATATGACCTTGAAAGCCCATATGGAGGAGAAAACATCATCCATTCAAGTGTGAATTCGATTTAACTAGAATTCAAATCCAGGTTAGATTCCGTGTCTCTGGTTTAATGGGCTAACTTGCGAGGTCGACCTGGATTTAATAATTACTACAGCTAGAAAAGCTTGAGTATGGTGTTTGATCTGGGTTAGGCTTCACGTCTAGTGTTTAGCTGGAAAAGCTAAATTAGTATTTTGTTAAGAAGATTACTGTTGTTGTTATCATAAATCTCTCTGCTCAAAATCATTGCTGCATCTGGTATTCTGAATTTCAACGTAGTTTTGAAATTACGTTACAAACGATGTTTCATGAAAATTAAATTGCCTTCGGAACAATTTGAACCCAATCTTTCAGGTGAGTAAAGGATTGCCTGAACCACAGGGCATTGATAAATGGTGTTATAGGCATGCAGTGATATGACCTGAAAAGCCCATATGAAGGAGAAAATATCATCCATTCAAGTGTGAATGATAGAAGGGAGACTTCAATTAAGCAACACTTGTTAATGAAAGTAAATTTACTAATAATACTGAAGGGAGAGAAGCTAAAATTGCAATTAATATGGGATATTAGTGAGTCTCCATTCTCCACTCTAAGTTCAGCATTTAACCAAAAAAAAAATTAGAAAACACCACTCATCTTCTTTGCATGCTCTCTTTTAATCTCCACTCTAAGTTCAACATTTCACAAAAAAAAAAAAAAAAAGATCTATATTTTGTTATTTTTTTTTATTCATAATTGTTTTTTCAATTCCATCCCTTATTATATTATTTTATTTTATTTTATTATAAAATTTCAGTCTCATTCTTTTAATTGCTATTTTTTTTTATCATTTTCTTGATTTATTTTATTTTTTAATTTTGTCTCTTATTATTTTATTACTACATTTAATTATTATTCTTTTGATTACTATTTATTTTATTTTTTAATTTTGGATGATTGAGGATTTTGCTTTGTGATTTTTACTACCTTGCCTTTTGTTAGGTAACCTGATCTCATGATTTAGATTACAAGTTTTGAAAATTAATGTTATTTGACTATAGTTTTTTTATATATTTTTGTAATTTCATCATTCGACATTGAATTATTGGACCTCCAGCTTTTTTATTTTGCTTTCATTTATATGGAATTATCATAATCTCAGTTTCATCTTTTATTATTTATTTTGCTTAAGAGTTGATCTAATTATTTTATTTATTTT